CCTTTGGCGCGCGAGTTAGTGGTGGCATTTCTTTCTTCTTGGCGAAATTGGTCGTAGCAGTTATATTGTCCGAAGATGTTCTGAGCGTAACTTTCGGCTGCTGGTGTAACAGCGCCAGAAGCACCTGGAGCTGTTGCGCGGTCAACACGGGGCGGGGGCGGCTGGCACGACCTCATCAACGGACTTGTGCTCAGTGGGGACCGCCTGGCCTACAGCCGTCGCGACGTGCGCAGGCGCGTGGTCCTCCGTTGGCAGCATGCGCGGCTTCGAAGCAGCCGCGCAAGTTTCTTCGGGAGCAGCGTGATTGGCGCCGAGCAGAACCTCGACAGCCGAGGGCCCCTCACCAAAATTTTCCTCAGCAGGACGTTTCTGGCGACGGGCGGTTGCCCCGGCCGAAGTTCCGGGCTCCGCGGAATTGTTGGGGTTATTCGTCGGACGATTCGGAGTCGTGTTCGCCGACGCCATATTAGCGAGGTTGTGCTGCAAAATATCGGTGAGGAGCGTCGTCGGAGCCTTGCCTTGGGGGAGGGACTGGGTCTTCCCCAAGTTGGATGAGAAACTAAGGAAATTGAACTAGAGAAACTAGAAATGAATAACTTTGGTGAGGGCGAATGGCCTCACGTCCCTCTTTTGTAGGCAAAAGAGGGTGAGCAGCACTTCGACGCTGCCTTTGCTGCGTTGGCCCTCGTTACACTTTCACAATACACATTTTTAGAAAGTGCTACACACTTTCAAAAACATTTCCTGTAACTCCACTAGCACAGAATACCATGAAATAGTGAACCACTTGTTTAGGGTGGCCAGAATCTGGATTAGGTGGAACCACGAGTAAAATTCAGCGGAAGACTTTACACCTTGTATTGGAAATGTCCAAAATGACAAGGATGATTATAATGGATAATACAAACATATTTATAGTTTAGAAATTACCTATTCGGATGTACCTGTTCGTAGTGTAACGCGACTATTCGTGGATATGACTTAGTGACTGTTCGTGTGACTGAGAGTGGCGTGACCCTTCGGGTGACTATACGCGTGAACCTACTGTTCACGCGTTGACTCGCTACTGTTGACCTCATCACGCGCGTCCTTCCATATGAGGTATCATGCTACTAGTACAGTCTGAGTGTTATATCAGGAATGCATAAGTATACTTTGTCGAGTATACTTCAACAATAACAATATACACTAATATGTTGACATTCCCCCCTTGGTAGCACAGGGGAAGTGATAGATATGTTGTATTTTTTGTTAGCTAGAAAACAAATGGTAGGAAACAAATGATCGACATTTGTTTTCTATTACTTTCCTGGTTTGTAATTTGTTGTGCGTCCACTGAAAATATTTGCACATATTTTCAACCATTACGTTGGATCACAAGTAAGATAATGTCTTCTAAGTATACATTGAATGTAACAGAAATAAGCTAGCTTAAAATTCTGTATTATTTGTGGTTTTGTGTATTTTTAAAATTTAGGATGAGAAAAAATTGGTCCGATCGATTGCAAAAGGTTGCTCCGCAACCCTAAAAGTAGGGCATATTATTTTACACGTAACAAGAACAGTCTCATAATACCTCTCCACTCCATATGTTATGAATTATAACTCAGAGTATAGCGCATAATACTTTAGGGGAACGTGATTACATAATGTCTCAATAGAAATGAGGCCTACGAAATATATAGGGCGAGTTGACCAGGGTGAATGTCGAGGGTTGGACCAGTCAAGGGCTCGATAGTCCCGAGGGTGACGGGGTCAAAATGGGTTCGGGGCGAATGGGGATCAGGTTGGGGTCGAATAGGTCGGCGGGGGCTGGTTTGGTGCGAGAACCAAGGGCCGAGCCTACGGACCCGATAGGCTCGCGTGTACTTGTTGTGGCGAGCCTCAGCATGGAATGGTAATTCCTTACACTCTCCCACATTCTAAAGGAAGGAACTCGCTTTATCGAGGCCGAACAGTCATTAAAAGTAATCCCCGATGTGACTGTAAGTCTTCAGCCCTGTGGCGAGCGTAATGATTACGCCGGCCTGACGAGGTCTTGAGGACTAACTGAAATCAAAGGCCAGAAGGCATCGAAACGATCGCGGTAGATTCTGATCGTTGAATCTTGATGGGCGCAATGATGACGAGACTTCATCAGGTAAAACTTCATCCAACGGCTGAGACATGTCGCAGCGATCGTGATCGATCGGAGTCGTTGAAGATAATCGACTTCTTCAGCTGACCGACGGGCAAGGGTTAATACTCAAGCGGAAGACGGTAAACAGTAACTCTGTCAACTAGGCGATTGATGATGACGCCTGCATTATGAATATCCCGAGTAATGATGAACTGTCGAATGATGTGGGCTGTCGGATGACGATGCCCTGTTCATCAACACGCGAGGTCGTTTGTGTCACATGCGAGAGCACGCGTCCGTGTCCCACGAAAGTCAACGAACTCCATCAACGAAGTAACGAAATCAAGCGCAGAAGCGTAACGGTGACGCATGTTGCTCGAAAAGGATTATGGGACATGCTGGAAGGGTTGGACGAAAATTGCGGCACAGCTGCACTACTCCCCCCTCCAAGAAGAAATTGCTCCCAAATTCCCAGGTAAAACTGCAAGTAACCCAATGCTCAATGGTAGGCGAAAATACCCATACTGCTGTCGAAAATCCCGTTAAACGCAGCTTCGAAGAGTCCGCTCCAAAACTCCAAGCGCGAGAAATCCCAAATATGCTCCAAATGTGAAACTCTTGCAGGGTAAACCGCTCCAAAGGTCGTAAAACTCAGAAGTAACTGCTTCGGAAGACTCCCAGACAAGCTCAAAATTTTTCAGAAGTCAAACACTGCTTGTGAGCTGGTCCCAACACAGCTCCAACAGGACCGCTGCAAAATCGTTTCGGTTCGATACTGCTCCTGATGGGTGGCGATGATGCTGCGGGGTCGTGTTCAGACTGTCTGCGAATCAACCGAATTGTTAACGGAGGCGGTAGCGGGTGGCGGCGAGAGGAAGACGACGATGGCGACGACCTGTAACCTATACTGAACTGCTCCAGTGAGAAACGTCGAACAGAACCCATGGTCGAATGACGCCAGCTGCATCAGCTTCTTTGTCCGTACACGCCGAAAATTTAGGGAAGAACCAAAACTGCATCTGCTCTCCCTCCGCTCCATGTACCCAGTATACTCCGCAAAATTCGGTCGATATTGTTCGTACCCCTGAAGATAGGGGGCACAACTCCAGCTGTAAAGTTCAGCACTGTTACCAGCTTTTACACCGAAAATATCGGAACTCCACGTGGAACTTAGCGAATACCGCAACTCTGCTTCACAGCTACCCGGAAAACACCCAGGCGTCACCCAGGGAACAAAATCCGATTTCAAATGACGCCAGCTGCATCAGCTTCTTTGTCCGTATACGCTGAAATTTTCGGGAAGAACCGAAAACAGCAACTGTTCTCCCTCCGCTCCATGTACCCCGTATACTTCGCAAAAGTAGGTCGATATCGCTCATACCCTTGAAGATAGCGGGCACAACTCCAGCTGTAAACTTCATGACTGCTACCAGCTTGTACGCCGAAAATATCGGAACTCCCTCGACACTTAATCCAGGCGTCCTTAAGCAGCGCCCCCACGGTTTCTCCACCAGCTGTACGCATCAACTGAACCCTTTATATTATGGATTACCGGAGTCCACCGCCTCGGCATGATGTTTTGGCCGTCGATCAGGGTCAATGCGCATCATACGCCGTCGATCTTTGCCCAGCAGTTACCCAAATCCAGAAATTCTCCGGTACCCCTGTCCAGCTGGCCGTGCAGACGTTCAGTCATCCCACGGCCGCTGCAGGTTACCCAAAACCACTTCGCTGCTACTTAACTAACTAAGGAGAATCCGCAGAGATAGGAGTGCGCACGCTTCTAGTCAGAGAAGCTTTAACGAGCTCGCTTACTGACCGCTGGACAGCTGCCTCCTCCGTCGGAAACTCGTCGAACTACACCAGCAAAAGTCGGAAACTCCTTCTGCTGCACCAGGTGAAACCCTCAGCTCCACTGCAAGAGTAACTCCTGAATTTTCGGGGACACTCCACCAGCACATTGTAGTTTGCAGGTTCACCCCCCTTATTCAGCCAAGAGCCGTCGATTAACAAGTCGACACTGCTACCTGATGGGGATGGTGATTTTCTG